TTAAATCTAGAAAATTTAGTAAGAAAAGAAATTATTTAACATACGAAACTCACAAATTAAATCATATTTTAATTTAAAAACTCACAGTAATTCTTAACGAGTGGCGGATCTTAATATCTTAATTTTAAATCTTAATTGCTTAATAAATCTTATGAAGTGAACATAACTCGCAATCTATGCTGCTTTTATATTTAATCTGGACTCGTACGCAGTACTATTCAAAGTTTTAAAGGTATGACATGATTAGCTCTGAATGACGCATAAGAGCACATATATCGGAACAATGTTTCTAATTATATATCGGAACATTGTTTCTAATTATATATCGGAATAATGTTTTTAATTATATATCGGAATAATATTTTTAATTATTGTTTGAACGCTAATTAAATGAGGTGCAGTACAAAACAATACTCTCAAAACAAAGCTTGTTAGATAAATTAATCATATGTAAAAATGGAACAAATCTGTTAATCCCGATTCGATGACTAAATAATAATAAGATGGAAGTTTGATTTTTATTGAGAACGATTTTTAGAATCAAGGAAAATCTTTTAATGCATGATCCAATAACAAATTAAGACAATGTTATTATTTGCATTATACAATTTTTTATTGTATAAGAATGAAACAGTAATGATTCATTTACAATAGACTATTTATAGGCATAAATGACCAAAAAATCAATAATTAAAAATGCTTTTGTTCTATAATAAGCTAATTATTATGATTATTGGTGAATGAAAAAACTGTGATTACCGTTTTCATGCATACATCATGAGAACCAAATAAAAACTCGGAATATTTTTTTTCCGTACAAGATAAATAATTTATTTGTCATCCAACTATTCGACGAATCCACTATCAAATCGATTTTACGAATGTTCTTAATAAAAATAATTTCAATATCCTTTTATTCTTTTGTAGTGGCTGAGTAAAATACTTTTTTGAGGCTTAGTATATAATATACTATTTGAAGATTTTTATTCTTACAATAAATTTTCATTAAAAAATAGTTTAATATATTATAACGTAAACAATTTATTTTTATAATACCATAAAATATTCATAAGTTATAGATAATAAAATTGATAATGGCGTAGTTAGCCGAAAAAGACTACCCCTGCGTACCCTTCAAAAATGTCACGAAACGGCCGGCATTACGGCGTTATGCACTAACACGTGAAAATAAACAGTGACGAATAAGGGTGTGACGAATAGGTTTTTACTTACTCGAAAAAAACTAAGTCCCTCAGATACTTATGAAAAATGGAAACAAGGAAGGGTGTGACGGATGTGACAAAAACAAAGTCACGTGAATTTTCGTGACATTTTTGAAGGGTACGCAGGGGAAATCGCCGAAAAATAATTAGCCGCAACGTGATCCGGGACCCGGCTCAGGCGTAGATCGTTGTGGAATTCCAGGGGGATTTTCTGCCGGGTCCGGATGATCGGCAATCAGGAATTCGGCTCCGTTTTTCAGCTAAACTATACCATATAATAAAAAAATTCGTAAAAAAAAGATTATTTTACAATGGAATTGTGGAAATTCATGTCTGCACAAACAATTAATTTCGTGAACAAAAAAAGGTAAAAAATGAAATATCATACTATCATATTACATAACGAATATTAATTTTTTTTTTTATAGGTGTGCGAATATTGTGGATTACTCCGGAAGAGATTAATTAAGTATTAAGAAAAAACTAAAAGTGAGAAATAACTTATTATAGAACGTCATATTATCGAAATGTCTTATGGTATTTCATGTAAAACAACCCAACATAAGCTTCCCTTAATACAATATTAACCGATATGTATTTAATTTTGACATTTAATAATTCTTTATTTCCAACTTTTCCGATTTTGACTATTGATGAATATTCTGATCGTTTACATTATATGTAGTCTTGTGGGCTTATGTGGCTTGTTATAGTAAACTAGTTGGTCCAAAGCGTAACGAAGGACTACCCGCTGATCCGTCCGGCACGTAATGATGTACAATAAACATCATTCTAGGCTTTTAACAATATTTAAACGCACTTTGCAACTATGAAGAAAATAAAAATAAAAAATAAAAAAAAATAAAAAAAAAATAATTAAAGAATTAAAATGATGTCCAAATTTAATATTTGAAGAGAAATATAATAATAAAAAAAACTCTTCATTCTTGCCTTTAGTTAATAAAACTTATTTTTCCAATTCTATGATTAAATCCTTAATATACCGAAAGAGGAAATTTCGAGATTTAATCGTTCTGCATTTATCAAGTGAACCAAGAAATAAATTAAAAAGCCAAGTCATTATTTTTCAGTATCAAAACATTTGGGCAACCTTGGATAATGATTTTTCAGGAAAAACGTGATGCAACACGGTTAAATTTCTTGGCCGTCTTAGGCTGGAATGAGTTAATAAGAGAAGACTGCGGCTATAGATGACGTTTAAATATTACGCTTATCAATTTTCATCATGGACACGAAAATATTGCGCCTATCGACTTTCGTATTGATTGAAGATACAAGTAATCGGATATCTTACTGAGAAATATTAATATAGATCATACCGATTTTGGATAAAAAAAAGCTATTCAGGCTATTCATATGAAATTTCCAAAGTATCTTAGTATCTTATCCTTAAAACTGAACATATTATGGCAGCCACACTTATTTACCAAGGACTAAAAAGGAATCCATGTGGGTAAAGTGGTTGATATGGTAAAAAATTCAATCACAGATTTTGGGCATATTGGGAAACCTCAAATATCTGTAAAAATAATAACATTTTAGAACTATAATAATTCGCGGTGATGGATAGTTGTTTAGAATTAAACTAAACTATGAGGGAAATTGAATGTAACACAGGATGATGATTACACAATCGGAAAACAATAAACGACAACACAAATAATTGACACCCCGTGTCAAAATAGCTTTACCCTACCCAACTTAACAAACATTGTTATTACAGTTTAATCTATTTGGTATTTTTGGTATACTAAATATAGAATATGATAATTTAATAGATAAATATAAGAAAAAAAAAAACATTAAAATTTTTGCTATAGATTAATGAAGACTTTGAATGGATTTAAGAGAGCTTTAAATTACAGTATTATTATTGTAAACTATTATGTTCTATAAGATGATAAGGTTTTATATAATGAACAAGAGTTCATTTTAAAGGGGAGTTAGGACTATAAAATGTAAAATATGTGAAATGTGATTTATTTTGAACTTATTCATTTCTAATAAAATCATGACATTCGAATTTGTAATAAATATTTTTTAACCATAATTGAGTTAATTATGCAAATTTTTTAGTAATCTTAATTTTATCATACCTTCAGAATTGTTATTTTTGTGCGGCAGTGATGTTTTTTATGTAAATTATATGAAATGTTCTATATAAAATTTACATACACTATTTTATATAATTTTAATGTAAATTTGTAAAATATGTCTATATAGGTTTTTTATTTAAAATTCAAACATATTTCATATAAGTATTATTTAATTATGTATAACGCCTGATTAGTTTATTAAGATGAATAATCCTGTAAATCAATAAATCCTTTTATTCTTGTAAGTCGATTTTACCCTAATTTCTCAATATCTGGAGTTGTAATTTTTTGTCAATTTCGTTCTTTTCCAATGTAATTTTACACTTTTATTTCAAGTTCATAAGTAATCGTCTCCAAAAATGACAACGTAAATACGGATCTAGAACTGGCGGGATATGTTCGTGAAATCAACCAACTAGAAGGTTTGCTTTGGGGTTTACGATATGCAGGGCAACAATATGTATTTCGCTTTTTGATCGTTCAGGAGGTATTGGCTCCCGGATTCATAAAATAATAAATACGTAAATAAAATCATTAGGCTGAAATTTTTAAGTCGTACAGAAGATTAGTTAATTATATACAATTTTTTAAATTTAAACAAACTAAAAATTCGGGTTAGAAAAAAGTTGAAAGAAAAATATTTTATGCCAATGTATAATGTTAAATTTATGCGAATTTTTTAAAAAATCTACATCAATGGATATGTGATTAATTATCGGAAAAAAGTGGACATAAAAATTCAGTTGATTTTCGAATAGTACTCATAAACAACATTTTTCTTTTTAAGACAAATACTGTATTAATAAACGAAAATTAATGACTTGTACCAAAATCGAGGAATACGAGTATAATACTAGTATACAAGAACGAATTGGAAAGTAAATATACCATTTCAATTTATTATATACATCTATTAATGCTTTTTTTTTGTTTTACGCATAAAAGATTTTTCATAAAATAAATAAGTTAGTATACTTTAAAAAAAATTCTTTATTGTAAATTTTATTTTTCCCTTAATTAATTTCAATTTTGCCTCACGTGATTAAGAATTCATATGGATCGATTGGATCGACTGTTTGCGTAAAATTTTGTAGCCAAATAATTTTCATTATTTTATTTACATATTTATTATTTTATGCATCACGTAGACGGCAGACCGCACAAAATAAAAATTCCTCTTTTGGATGTGAAAATCCTTTTTTCATTGTATACAATTCTTTAAAAAGAAGTTGATAGAAAATATTTTATATTGTTAAATTTATGCGAACCTACGCCAACGGATATCTAATGGAATTATCGGAAAAAAACGACATAAAAGTTTAGTTGGCCTCGAATACTACCCATAAACAATATTTTCTTTTTTTTTTTTGACAAATAATAATAAACAAAATTAGTGACTTGTACCAAAATCGAGAAATACAACGAATATAATTTATTTTATACACCTATTAATGTTTTTTTTGTTTATTCATAAAAAAATTTTTTCATAAAATAAGTTATACTTTAAAAATTGAAAATTATTTTCCCTTTACTCAATTTTAATTGAATTCAGACTGCTGTTTACGTGAATTTTATGAAACTCACTCCAGAATTTAATAGACCTTTTTTCCATTTATCATTTCATGTTTAAAATTGTATTTTAAATTTTATCAACAGTATTATGGCTATCATTCGTCAAGAAATAGTTAGAGCTACAATTAATAGAGCAGCTGCATTAGTAGACCCTAATATTCAAAATAATTTAGAAAAACGACATGTATTTAGAATACAAACAGTTCTTGCTGACAAATCTCTTACGAAGGATGAAAAATCATATGCAGTAAAAGAATTAAATAAAGTATTTGACCATTATAAAATCCTTTATAATGAAGGAACAAAAAGAATTTGTGAAAATTGTCATGATGAATGTTTAGCTACATTATATTGTGAACATTGTATTCGAAATTATTTAAAAGAAAATTTTTCAAATAAATAATGATATTGATAATTTAATATAACAATGTCAAATAAAAGCACTTATACCAAATTTGATAGTAGAATGGATTCCTTATAATAATTTACAAAATATTAAATACTTAACTAAAGGTGGAAGTTCTGAAATTTATACAGCAGTTTGGATTGGTGGATGTTATGAAGAATGGGATTTAAAAGAAAAACAATTAAAAAGATATGGAAGTATGATTGTAGTGCTCAAAAAATTAGAAAATGTTGAAAGTGCCAATAAAAGTTGGTTTGATGAGGTATATACAAGTAATTAAAAGTATTTGAAATTTTTTTTTAAAATTTAATTGCAATTTTTTTAATTTTTGTAGGGTATATCTCATCTACACATAAGTAGCAAAACTTCCCTTATAGTGCAATGTTACGGTTTAACTCAAAATCCATTTAATGGAAATTATATGATTGTAATGAATCATATGAATATAAATCTAAGAGAATATTTGCAACAAAATCTCAATAAAATCACATGGAAAGAAAGAATTCAAATTATTGATAGTATAATTGGCGCAGTTTATGATATTCACAGCGAGAGTTCAATTCACAGAGATTTACATTCTGGAAATATATTATTTGGTCAAAGTAATCAAAATTTTTTCATCAGTGATTTTGGATTTTGTGGACCAGCTAATAAACCATTAAATAGTATATATGGAAATCTTCCATACATAGCACCTGAGGTCATTGTTAATAAGAAATATACTTTTGCATCTGATATTTATAGTATTGGCATACTTATGTGGGAAATCTCATCTGGACAACCACCTTTTATTAATAAACATGATTATGATCTTGCAATAAGAATAATAAATGGAATGAGACCAAAAACAATACCAGACACTCCTTTAGAATATAAAGAATTAATGGAACAATGTTGGGATGCTAATCCTACGAAAAGACCTGATATTTTCACTCTTTTTAATAAAATAAGGGATATTTATAGATGGTATTGTCAAAATGAAAATGAACAAAGAATAATTAGTAAAATTACGAGTACTAATAACTCTCAATTAAATACAAGATATAATTTAAATTCTAGTTCTACTAATAGTTCCTTTTTTGGGAATTTTAGTACAAGTTCTAGTAATTGGAATATTAGTAGTAGAGTTTATAATTTTGAAAATTTACCTGAACCAAAAAATGCAACAAAAGGTAAGAATTTTTTATTGTACAAGTTTTACTTTTTACATTATAATATTTCATTTTATTTATTTAATAGAAGAACAAGATGGTAATTATTAAAATATATTTAACTTATTAATATTGTTATTTTTTTACTATGTTAACTTTATTTTTATAGCTTATCATAGTATACAATTTGATTATGATTTACAAGATGGTTTGATTATTGGTAAGATTAGCAATTAATATATTTTTGTTAAAAATTTCGATTTATAATTCTAATTTATATCCATTTAATTTAAATAAAGTAGAAGAGAAATCTAATAAAAGATGTTATTTTGATGGTAATAGATAGTTTTTTGTAAAAATTTTTTACAATGCTGTAAATCAAATAATCAATTTTCTTCTTTATTACTATAAAATAGATGATGATAAAGATTTAGCTTATAACTCTAATAAAAAAGTCAATTCAAATAATAACGAAGGTAATTATTACTGAAACTCTCATATTTTATTTTTATTATTATTAATGTATTAATATTAAATTTTAGAAATACAATATCATGAAATTGGATACCAATATACGTAAAGAAATTATGCTACGAGTAAGATGGATCTTAACTATTTATTAAATTAGAGCGTTATCATTATTATTTTTGTATTATTTTATTTAGAATTATTTAAACACTAAGACTAGAGTAGCAAAATTTGCAAATTTTCTTAGTTTGTAATTTAAATAGTTCATTTTATTTATTTATGACTAGTATACAATATATAGAATATGAATAAATTTATAATTTGAACAGTATTACAATATTATAGATTTTTGCCATATTGAAATTAATCTGATTTTTATTAAAAACCAATTACTGTATATACCAATATACTACTGATATTTTAGTTAACTAATGTCCAAATCTTAAATCTCACGAAAATTACCAAATATTGCAGCGTCAAATGAATACTGGTTTATTATTTACTACCATACGAATATTTAAGTTCAAAGGAAATTTTAATTGGATATAAAGCATTTTAGAGTATGTAGATTACTATGTAATGTAATAGCAATTTCTGTCTATAAAAGTATACAATTGATTAAATAAATAACAGTTTAATACTATTTACAGTTTTGTAATAATCTACGTATATTAATTTGCAAGTTAGATTTTAGATGATATAAATAGAATTTCATTTTTTGCTGTTCTAATATTAACTTATTGAGTTTAGTTTATAATTCATCGACAAGTAGTATTTTTAGGCATTAAAATTGTATTATAAATTTGAAGATGTTGTAAATATAAATACAAATGAATATAAGAAATACGTTTGAAAGAGTTAGAATTCTTTCCATAAATTGTTCAAATTGGCATATATTTTACGTCTATGTTATATATATCTTACGTTTAAACTATATACATAATATGGTCAAATTATGTTTATTTAAAATGGTTATTTGATGTTACATTTAATCAAAAAGTATTTTTCACAGGGGCTTATATACCAACAAAATTAACTTTATATGTCCTCTCATAATTAATAAATAAAACATATCCTTTGGTCTTTGTCATGGGATCCTGCCAAAAATTCTAATGTTCATGATAATTAAGAATTTGAGTCTTTCTTCTCCATTCTTCCCTTGAAATTTGCAGTAATATTTTCGCTATATCGAAAAGTAGGTTCATTTTCAAATAAATGAACAAAAATAATTTCTGGAAAAGTATCAATTGAATGTCTCTTAGACCCAACAGACATTGTACAAAATTCAAATAATTGAGTGATTATTAATAATAATAATAAATATGTGATATTCTAATTACGATGTTGCATAATCATTAATTTCTCAAAATATATGTATTCTAAATAAATAATTTGAAAGGAAATAGGTTGCTTTAAATTAAAAATCAGCAGTTTATCGCTGTTTACTAAATATATATATGAAAGACTATTAGGCTAAAAGTGAATCTATAGGAGTTTCAAATTTAACTAAAATTATGAAACCTTTTAGTGAAGCTGGATTTTCTATTATAAAAAATTATATTACTGTAATACTGTATGTACCAGGATTATTCATATTAAACCATTATATACAGGGTAACAGGGATATTAATGATCAAAAAGAATTTTTTAAGAATACTTCAAAATCACTTGTTTTAATGTGAAGCCTAAAATTAAACATTTTAATTTAAAAGGAAGGGGCTTATCCTAAATTTTGTAATATGATGATATAATAGTATTATTTGATACTTGGCTATAATTAAATGTACTACCTGAAGATTTTGTTTCATATTTCCAACCAGATTGAATAATAGATCGATGTATATATTTAGCAACCAGTGATTCAACTCATATTACTTTGGATTCATTAGATAGTACTTCTTGATCTCCTCCGCAGTCGATCTCGATCAAAGAATTAAAGCGGCAACCCGCTGCATTTAATTGATTTTAGTAGGTATAATAATTTTAATAGCTACAGAATGACAATTGGGTAATAGTCAGTACCCGTCACAATTAAAAATTCTGACTTGCGCAAAATAAGGTTTACAAAAAAAAAATTTATCCGCAGAAAAATCCAATTCACAGATTTTTGTTTATGGCTTTTTTTGAATGAAATTGCAATTATGTAAAAGGCAAAGCATCACAAACGGGTTTAACATACAATACATTAACTTTCCAGATTTTACAACTTTATTAACCAGAACTATATAATATACAATAAACAAATATACTATATTTCGCAAGAAAGTAGTAAAAAGTTAGTTAATCTTTTTTTTTATTTTTCTTATATATTTTTTCTTTAAATTTTATTATAAAAGTATGTTTGCAAGGTTTTTTTGCGTGGCGCAATGAATAGTGTTACGCAGTAAAATGTCACGCAGTAATCACGTGATATAACTGGATCCGTGATGCCGATCAATGTAGGAGATATCGACATGTTTGATATGTTATGTAGTATATATAGAACATATAGTATATAGAGTAAATAGTATATATAGCATAAATAGTATATATAACATATATAGCATATATAGCATATATAGCATATGTAGCATAAATTAGATATTTTTTTTTATATAGCATTAGAAAAAGTAGTTTTAGAACAGTCCTTATAAAAATCATTAATAAAATTAATTAATAAAACTCATATATATACACTTTATTTTACGCCGATCCCGTTAATTTCCGACCCTACTGCTTACACTAAATATACCGCTTATTTTTAAGCATATAAGAACTGACCTATAACAATAGGTTTATCATGTGGTACAGTCAGGAAAAGAGGGATTAAATACATCCAACCCATTTAAAATTATTACAAATATATCGTGATTTGTCTAAATTTAAACATTCCTCTAATATGTACTAGTAATACTTTTGTGAGAATTAAATAATAAAAAATGCCTTATATTTATAATTTTATTTTACACTATTTGGAGTCTGAGCCCGGAAACTAGCTGCATTTAACTGTTATTTTAGTAAGTATAATAATTTTAATAGCTACAGAAATGACAATTGGGTAATACCCGTCACAATTGAAAATTCTGGCGCACAGCCTTAATCGCTTAGTAAATATTGTACCCGTTTAGAACCAAAACTAGTCAGCCATCCAACCACAAAGAAATCAAAGAAATCGAAGAAAAGACAGAAAAAAGAGTAAAAAATGTGAGATTTTCGGATAATAGTAACCATCAACACGCAATACCTTTTGAAGAATGAAAGAAAATGGGTTAATTGAAAAATACCGTATACGACTAAAAAGTGACAAGTAAGATAAATAGAAATATTTTATCTGATAATTTTTTTAATATAAATTCTTCATCTTTTCTGATAAATATTTATCTGAGAGGAATCACATGAATTACAGTTAATACTATTTACTTTTTTTTTCAATTTTAATTACATACATTTATTTAGATCTTATTACCATTTTTTATTTATAGGAAATAATTTTCTCATGTAACAAAAATTTTTTTAATAGTATTGTAAAAATCAAAAATAAATAGTCACTCTCTTCTAATAATCATCACTGTAGAAAATTTTTAACATGAATTCATATCAAATAATCTTTTCTGGTATTTGTAACTGAATTTTATCTTGTAAAGATTTAACAAACAGGACTTGAAATACTTCATAATTCTCCACCTTAAATTCTGCTGTAATTCCTATTTTAGGATAAGCTAGAATGATAAAATGTCCAATTATTGGTACCACTACAAAAGAAATTACTCATGTGTGGTCCTTGATTAGTACTCGAGAAATAAATAGCATAACTTGCATTGTTATTGTTAACATAACTTAGTTTTGCAGTAGAAATAATTTTTTCATCCGTAATATAAAATAGAAACTATCTGTAGTGCTTTTCCAAATATTACTTCCACTCCACTAATCGAGTACAGCATTCCAAACACGAAATTCTTCAATTGATAGATCATCTATTTGTAAAACTTTTTGATCAATTGCTCTTCAGAAAATTTATTGAAATGATCCAAATTAAGAAACCATTTCGTTCAAATCGATAACTAACGATAATAGTTTTCATTATCAAATGCTTCAGTAAAAATGTTTTCATAGATCCAACTTGATCGATTTTCGATAAGGTACGATTGAAGATATTCGACCACGTCAGTTAGTTGGAAACGTTTAGCAGCTTTCATCAAGTTCAACAAAGATAATGAATTCATGGTCAAAACATTAATTTCGTTACTATAGATTAAATTATAATTATTATTTCTTTTTTTATCCTAGTTTTATCTAGATGTTAAATAAATAATGAGAGCTAATTAGTATTAATAGCTACCCTAAGATTCTGTCAAATACTTCAAAAGTATATTCGGGAAATTTAAATTGATAACAATTATCAAGTTTTTCATTTTTTATCCATAGAATGTAATTTATTATGAAGGTAAACTGATCTAACTTTCAAAAGAATGAACGATCATTCTTTTAAAAGGTTTCCGGCCTACAATAAAAACAACATCATAATCAATATTATTTTTACGTATTTGGCTTATATCTTGGATGAACTTTTTATCTGAAGGTAATGGAATCATGTTTGTAATGTCAAAGTGTAAAAAAGTGCGTGGGAATTTATAAAAATTAAAATAGTATTTTCTGTATTTATTTACGCAAATTATAATTATTGTTATATGTCATTCAATTTCAACTTATTTTTTTTTGTAAAAAAAAAAGTATTATTAATAATTATTACATTTCAAGATAATTAGTAATATTACTAATATACAGTACATCTTATAATTATTATGTAGTGCAACAAATCTTATCAATTTAAATTTACCTATGTTTATTTATATATTAACTAATTTTTTTATAATTATTACATATAATGAGAATAGAAGTTGAACTTACTCGTAGATAATATAATTTGTAATACTACCAGTTTTATCCATTGCGATTTTTTAACGGAATTCTGTAATTGACGTTTTTTTCAAGTTGCGAAATTAAGCTTTGAGTGATTAATAGCAGAATTATGCAATTTTTTCACGTTTTCAAACGTTTTTCATTTTCTTTCTTGACTAAAATTATGAATAGGTAATTTTAGAACGCAAAAAAATCTTTAACAATCTTTTAAACTTGATCTTGGTTTAAGGAAATGATGTATGTAAATTATAAACAACCGTTTCTTGATACTTTTCAAATAATACACTTAATTCTACTAATGACAAATTTCAAGCCAGGAATCAAATTGTGAACAATTTACGCAGCAACAAATTTATGTATGGTATGACGCCTGAATCCAATAATAATCATGAATTACCCACTGTAAATTGTACAATTGATTCAGCCTCCGGATAAACAACTAAATAACAAATTAATCTTCGAACGGATTAGAAATAAAACCAACAGAAAAAAGTTCAATTGGAACAAAAGGATATCAAATGGATTACAACACAATATTCAGCTTCATCACCGACAGATAAAAGATAATACACTTTGCGAACAGGAAGAAAAGGTTAAAATAATGAAATTATTTGGCCTGACAGTACTTACGCATAGAAAATACAACGAGAAGTATTGTAGCTTTTCATAATTCAAATTTGATTGTTATTTAATTTCCACAAAAAAATCAAGGAAGTTCCTACGACTTCACAATTTAGTTGATGAAGATTGTATTAGCTCGACGCTAGTGTCATTAAAGGTTATATAAATGTCATGATTGCGATAAATTTACTCACCGAATAAGCTTTCAATCTAATAATTTATTATAATTCAAAAATTTTGTACAGACTTAATGGCTAAATGAAACAAAAAAAAAGTTGAATTATGAAAGCATGTATTAAAATGAGGCGCAAAATCCAACTCTTTTTCACAGATGATAATTTCGAGATGAGAATTTTATTATATCATATCCTATTTATAAATGATTCTTGTGAAAAAAAGATAAAGGATCTAATAGATGATCATGAAGTATTAGATTTTAGAATATGATTTATACAGTATTTATGCAATGAACTTAAACTCGGTATATTGTATCAATAGGCTAAGTTTATTACTAAAGTTTATATAGTGTATATATAGTTTAATATTTATTAAAATCAAATAAACCAACGATTTTTTAAATCATTTTATTATAATTTATAGAGTTGACAGACATTCTTAATAAACGCTTTCTTCAAGAGTTAGTTGAAAAGTTTTTAATTGAAATCTGGCTGTCCAAGAAGTCCGCAACGTTGCGTAAGTCGCGTAATGGTGGGAAGAAGAGGGCGAATGTAGAGGAATATCTTCGAAAAAAAATCGTGTATATATTAGTATAGACGTCATGTATAGTGGGTAGAGTCCAAAATTTTTGTATTCATTTTTTATGTATTAATAAAGTAAGTCTTACAATTGATCATATTTGAAAAGACTTAAACCCTCCACAGGATGTGCTAGTGCGTCCAATAGAGCATTGTGCTCTAATACGCCGAATGCTTCTGAATGAGAAAAGGCGTGAAAAAATCCATTTTTTTCTTGTTCAGATAAATTAGGAAGGCGCTGGGATAATAACCTAAGAAGGATATTACGATGACGATCCAACCGGTCTTGAAAAAGTTTATCCCAAGCATCTCTACCATAACAAGCCATGAAATCGTGTCCATCTACGATGCCTGAAATATCATAATCATCATCAAAGTCATCTTCATCACCATCCCAAACTTCGTCTTCGCCGTCATCATCCTCTTCATTAACGTAATCTTCATCACCATCCCAATCGTCTTCGCCGTCATCATCCTCTTCATTAACGTAATCTACATCACCATCCCAAACTTCGTCGTCGCCATCATAATCCTCTTCATTAACGTAATCTTCATCACCATCCCAAACTTCGTCGTCGCCGTCATAATCCTCCTCATTAACGACGTCATCATCTGAAAAGACTATCTTCATTTGCCGCAGCATTGATTTTTTATTTATTTTTATTTTTATTTTTATTTTCTTCATGGCTGAAAAGTGCGTTTAAATATTTGTTATAAGCCTCGAAGTGTTGCTTAGATGTTTATTACTGTACATCGTTACGACGTTACGTGCCGGACGGACCAGCGGGTAATCCTTCGTTACACTTTGAACCAACTAAGCCACAAGACTATGATTGTTATTGAAATCACGCAATATTATTTATCAGGATATTCATAATCTCTTTATTTATACTTTCCAAAATACATCATTGGGAACACAAAATAAAATGCAATTAGACTTTTACTTTTGCACTTATTAAATGAATAACAAAAATGACTTCTAAGAAATTCATTTTTAAACTGCTCCATTAATAAATTTTATTTTTTATTATTTCTATATTAATTTAGATGAAGTCAGAATATCACAGTGATGTATTAATTTATTTAGAAAATATTTTTTACATTATTTTATCATATATCATTCTGTAAAAAGTTGAAATATTAAATATTAAATCAATTGATTGATAAATGATGTCAGTAATTTTAAACTTACAATTTTATTATAAAAGTCTAATTTACTGTATCAGTAAAGCTTAATAAAAAGTCTAAAGAATTTTTTGATTGAACTCTATTTATCAGTTATTACAGAAATAGTTTTAAGAATTCCACCGGGTGGTGGTGACTAAAATTATGACAATCGACTAGCATTAAAAAAATATAGTGCCGGTAAAAATTGATAATTCTGGCCAACGGTGATGATTAAATGTTATTATAATGATATATTATACTTAAAATATAATCTTATTAAATTAGGAATATTTATTTTATGAGTTGCATTTGTCGGTTTCATACCATTGTCAGTTAAATATCAGCTAAAATAATTATTTAAATATGCCACTTATTAAATCGATTTAATTAGTAGAGCATGGGAATATATTTTGCTACAAAAGTCAATGTAAATTGCCACATTTTATTAAATAGGTATATAATCGCTCACATTATATTCAAGGATCCGATTTACTATATTTTTACATAGTGGAAAAAAAACATTTCGGGTATCAGCTCGAATAAATTAAACCGACCGATTAACTATATCCCAAATATAAATTCTTGTATAAAAATAATTTCTCGTTCATTGTCAAACAATATTTCTGGTTCTTGTTTTAATAAAACTTTATTTTTAACTAAATATTATACAATAAATATAAATCAAAAGGTTGTCTTACAATAAAAAATTAGATTCAACACTCAAAATATCTTGTCTAAAAAGTTCTGAACATTAATTCAAATATTATATCTTCCAATAATTCTTAATTTCAAGACTCTGAACTGGAAATCTACGAAAAAAAAGATGTTCTTAAATAATTGTCCGAAGCGTAGCGGAGGACATTAACGGTTAGACACATTGTAATGCAAGGTATGTCTGTCCGCACGCGTGATTAACCAATAAGATGTATTATTGATTATTATCACGTGATCAGATTTTCGGTGACGCGCCTGACGCGTGATTTTAAACGAGTGCTTCGGACATTACAACGGATCCCGTTACCTAGTAAAATATAAAAATTTAACAACACTTTCAACAATCGTCAATTCAAGCCTTAAAACAGCAACACTGACGCCTGGGGGCACTATACTATAAAGATATACTTTTTTATACAACTAGCAGTAGCTCAAATTTAAATTTTAAAATTTTTTTTAAAAAAGCTTAAACTTGATATCTAACAAAAAAATTATATTATTAAGATCAACAAATACAGTACTTTGAAGACTTTCAGGTAAAAAATAAATTTTTTAATATTGTATATAAATATAAATTAGGATTAAAGTTTCAAAATATTGTAACTTCTAAATTTTTTTTTAAAGAAGCATGGAATATCTATATTATTATTCAATAATTGTTAAGGCTACTTCTTTTAACTTTAAAATTATAGCAATTTAAAGTAATATTTACAAGAAAATTTAATTTAATACTTAAAAATAAATGCCTTATAATAACAACGTTTTCTAAATATATATGATTTAAAAAATTAGCAAATTCAAGGCAAAATTATTCATTCTGCAAAGATTATAAGCATAATTACTATATAGCCAATAAATAAATAAATGCGGAAAAGAGTAAATTAATCAATAATAATATAAAAACAGATTTAGAAATATGTTTAAAAAAAATTTGTTCGTGGAATGCAATTATGAGTTGTAAAATTACAAACTAATGAATAACAATGTCTGGATTTTGACATTTCCGTCACTGAAGTTGCCACTAAATTACTACTTCGATCCCGCGAAAGATCTTTTTCTAGATTATTTTCTTTAGATGATTTTTGAGTATCATCTATTATTTCTTCCATATTCTCATAATCATATTCGATCGTTAACTTCTTCATATTCTTCTTCTCCATCATCATTTCTGCGAAGACGTTTCCCTACTACAGCTTTTGCCCACTCATTGAACGATTATATTTTCATTGACGCAATTGCTATTTTGTCATTTTCAATTTGACTGTGAGTTGAACTGAGTGGTTTCTCGGTTCCTGTTGAACCACTACTTGATCCCTTTTTTATCTTTTCCCTCAATGACTCGTACAATCTCAGTATCAGCAGTAATTACATGAGATAATTCAATATATGCCATGTTTTTTATAGTAATTGATTCTACTTCGAGCAGAACGTATATCAATGTCCAAAATAGCTAGGAAATGAAAGACAAAGAAACGAATAGTCGTAAGAAATTCCAATATATAACGGCTGTGAATAACGATCGTTTGCTTTTAATATTTGTTGTAACTTGAGCAGCGTTCTTATTAGCGTTGACTATTATTTGAACTAACTAAGCGAAAAGTTACAAATATATCGATAAGAAATTCCACAGCAATTCCACTAGCGCTATAAGATATAGGAGTAAAAGAGTCAACAAAACAACAAACTAAATCATGGAATCTGAAAATAATATTGGATTATCAATTTTTTTTTTTTTTTTATAAATTATTAATAAAAAACTTACCGAAAGCGCAACTTTAATTGAAAATAATATAATACTTATCCATTTATCTGACCCATCATTACGTATTTGTCCTAAAAGCCATATCAAGAACACTGATAATGATAATCTCCTTATAATATTTCCAACTATTATAGTTCCCAGAAGAGCATCACATTGAGTGTACGTAGCTATTTTTAGTGTCAAATAAAGACCGAAATTTGCTCCCGAACGCAAATTTAAGCAAAATTGAAAAATAATTTTTAGTATATTCGAAGTATTTGTCTGACGAGCTTTGTACAGTACATGTACAGCATTTCTGATCGATTTAATACTTTAAAGAAATACTTTTTAATATATATCAAATAAAAGACTACTATGATGATGATGAGCATAAAAAATCTCAAAAGTTCTTATTACCAGATATTTTTTACTGGAACGGATAGTTGCGAATTAAAATTGACTTAGCTTTTTTCCTAAAAAACGTCAAATAATGACGCGCCTTTAACACATTGGAAAATTGGTTAGATAATGGGAAAATTGGTTAGACACAAGATTTAGGGTACAAAAAAATTTTTTAGAACTTATATATATTTGACTATTCACTAATAAAAATACTGTAAAATATTCACTTATATTTATTTGGCATGAGTGTGAATGGGTCTAGTTTTTTACTATTATTATGATGGCATTAGTAGGAAATAAAATGTAATAAATTACACAATTTATATGATTATACAAATAACAATGAATTGTGTGCAAGTGTTATACTGTACAGTATATAAAATATAAGTATTTTTTTTTCAACAGCAGAGGATGTAATTTTTTTAATGCTACAATGGAATTTTTTTAAGATAAAAAAAAAGATTTTTTTGTAACAATGTAACAATAAACTACAAATTTCACAGTACTGCAACATTTGTTTTGTGTGATAATAAAATTTGCATTTAATAATAATATGTTGTTACCATAATATCTCAAAGAAATTCATTATAGAAATCTATAGTTATAGAAAAAAAATATCTTTTTAATTAATATGAAAAAAAAATTTTCTAATTATAATGATCTATTGTCATAAAAAAAATTCCCCAAAAAAATTAATTACAAAGATCTATTGTTACAAAAAATAAATAAATAAGTAATTAATTACTCACTAATTATGTTAGCCTTGATACAACCTAAAAAATATTATTATTATTAATAATAAGAATCGGGAAAAAAGGCAATTGCCATGGCGCCGCAGTGTCGATCCAAACCTACTAAATGGTGAAAGAATGCATTTGGGAAAAAAAAATTCGGTTTGAAAAAAAGCCAAACCAAAAAAGGAAAAGGGGAAAAATTTTTCGTATTGGAGAAAAAGCCAACCGAAAAAAAACCAAAAAAAAATAAAAATAAAAAAATTCGAAAAATAAAGACGAAAAAATAATATAAAAAAAAATCAGTCTTAAAAGACCGAAACAATGGGATTATATATGGAGAAAAGAGGAATCGAAAAAAAAGAAAAAACCGAAAGTAAAAGATCGGTTCAAGAAAAAAAAATGAAAATTAAAAAAAAAAGAGAACTGAAAAAATTTAGAAAAAAAACAGAATATTTGAAAATTCCGATTAAATTTCATTNAAAAAAAAAAAAAAAAAATTCAAAAAAATAAATTAATAAGGGTATCACCAGTGGTGACGGTCACCAGTGGTGGATTTATGATGTAATGCCAGTCAGTGTTTTATTAAATTTTAATTCAGGCCAGAAGTGCATCTTAATGCTGGTATGGTGACAATCACCGCTGGTGAGCTTTAGCAATTTTCAATTAATAATACATTAATACGGTCCAAAAAAAAGACCGAAAAAATAATATAAAAAAAAATCAGTCTTAAAAGACCGAAACAATGGGATTATATATGGAGAAAAGAGGAATCGAAAAAAAAGAAAAAACCGAAAGTAAAAGATCGGTTCAAGAAAAAAAAATGAAAATTAAAAAAAAAAGAGAACTGAAAAAATTTAGAAAAAAAACAGAATATTTGAAAATTCCGATTAAATTTCATTAACCGGAATTGGATTAGGCTTGCCGATCAAGCGGGTCTTAACTATAAAGAATACGGGTAAATTAAGGCTAATCTTACACGAATTTTTTTATCATGAAAAAAAATATAATTTAAAAAAAAAATTAAAGGAATAAAAAATGAATGAAAAATGAAATTAATTGTTAGGATTAAAAGACAAATCCATTTTTAGATATTCAATTTAGAGTAATTAAAATAGTAAAAGGAAGTACTAATAATAAAGAAGTATTGTTTTAATTTTATTTTATTTTTATTTTTAAAACCACGTGAACTAGATTACAGAAAGATAGACAAGAACAAAAGATGAAACAAATGTCGAACGCTATCTGATACTAAGCTATAATCAAACCGCCCGAGGACAGCGCCACTCTGGTACTTTTGACAAATCCGGGGGAGTCCCTAACACGACATCACATCCCTAATAACCAAAGTAAAGGCTTTTGAACAATCGAAACAAAAAAAAGAAACGATCCGTATTTTTCTTTCAGTCATTAAAGACCGCCACCTGTAAATACTGTAATAGGTGGAATGGTTCACACTATTCTAATTGTTGTACGTTGGTATAAAATTTTGTACGTGTGGGTTACCCAAAAAAAAGATGTAATAAATTACAAGTCAATAGTAAGAATGTGGCAGAAATAATGTAAATCTATAACTATCAGCGTGCCACTAAAACAAAAAAATAAGCTGATAGTGGTAACCGAATGGGGTTAAGGTGAAGCGAAGACTTTAGAGTCTTCAGGAGACGGAATATCTAGTCTCAATTTATTGACCTCAGTGTTGTGCCTATCTGTATTTGTAGTTGGGATAGGAGGACGTTTGTGTAGTCTGAGCTCAAGTTGTTTTGTATCATCTGATGTGTGTCCTTTGTAACGGTAATGGGGTCCATTGTCATCTATGACTGAAAAGTAGTCGATTTTGAAAAAACCTAATTCACGCTCCAATTGGAGCAACTGTTTGTTAGTTTTGTAAACATTTTTTCCTTGTGTAATTCTGTTCTGTAGAACGGAACGGCGGTCAGTTAAAGGGGTGATTTTCTTGTGAAAATGATCTTGAAATTTAGTAAGATCTTTGGTCATATCTTCACGATATTCTATACGGTTGAAGGAGGTACCCCAGAGCTTAGCTCTAGTAGAAAGTTCTTCTTCACGAAGGAGATGTTCTTTTTCTTGTCATTCGGCTGATTCATGAGCCTTTTTACGGTTTCTAATAACTTTTAACCACTCCGTACTGCCTGGAGCATGTTGTTGACCTTTGAGAGTTGCCTGTCTTTTAGATATATAGACAGGTTCATCGGTTACGTAAGGGAAGAGGTCGTTAGGAATCCAGATGCCCAACGTCTCATGCCACGTATTCTCTTCTTTGAGGAGAATGGGTTGTGAGGTGGTGGCAGGTGAATGAGTATTTGAAGTACTAATTGAATCATTCCCTCGATATGATCGAAGCGCTTGGTCAAAAGCGAGGTTCAGAGCGGCTATTGCGCCTAAAGGTCTGAGTGATGCAGGGGGTATAGGAAAATTGTAATGTTCCTCATCTCTGAGCACTAGTCTTTTATGATGTTTTAAATGTTGTATAGGTTTATTAATATATTGTGAAGGTAAAAATAAGAAACGGTGTTGTCTAGCACGGTGAAGCTTTTCGTCAAGAGTATTCACGCGTCTATGAGTTTTTTGGTTGTTACCACGATTGTAGAAAACAGATCTACATGCCCGTTGAAAGCGGGATTTTGTTTTTTACTCCTTTTACTACTATCGGAGTGGTGTGAGCGGAAATTATCCAATCGTTTTCGGTACATACGACGATCGTCGTATGTGGAAGGATATTTATGTCTATTAGCTAAATATGAAACATCGTAGGAAATTCCAAGGCGATTTGAATAAATGTGTTTTTTGATACGACGTTGCCATTGATTATGAATAAGGGTTGCATGGAAACGTTTGTTGTTGATAGTGTTATTATTCGATATCGGCGTGTGTTTCTTGATATTATGAAAAATATCTAAATTTTTATGATGAGAAACACAAGCTCGTCTATTATGAGACATGATGTAAGGGGAGGGGACACAACACAACTGTGTGTGTTCAGTTCCAAAATTATAAGTGGTAAAAAAATTACATGGTATAAAAATACCAAAGTGAAAACGATAACGTTTATAGGAGAAATTAAAGAAAGTTTTTGTGCGGGAATTTCTTTGTGTGACACTGTCAGCACGTGATTTGATAACGAAGTATCTATCGAGTAATTTAGAACGAATAAGATTAAAATATCTCTTTTGAATGGAGCGTGGGATGACTTTTTGATGAGAAAAAAAATGTTGTAACATCTTACTAATCTGATATTTCAGATTAGGAAAGCTACAGGTGGAAGAGTAGCTAATAGGGGTTGAGTTCATGTGATAATCATTTGTGTGTATTTTAAGATGAATATCATTGGTGTTTGTTGATTTATCTGCTAACTCAAAAAAGAAACTTTTTGATCTTCTGATTTCGTAAATCTTGTTACATCCAGCCCGATTGGGTCTAGTCACGTGAAATTTATGGAATGAGACGTCGAAAGAAAATTTTCCCAAGGGGATAGGTTTTTGAAAAGTAAAAACCATATTTTAATATGTTTTGTAAAAATAAGGTAAAGTATAATAAAAACTTCTTTCAGAGGTCGGGTAATAAGGAGAAGAACCTTTCCATAAGAAGCCACCCAGTGGTCTTCTTTCTTCTCGAACGTTGAAAACGTAAAAGGCGTGTAAATAAGAAAACAGTATTTAACTGCGGATTTCTATGTGAAAAAATGGAAAGGGGAAAGAGTTTTTTTTTCGATTTTCTGAGAAGTATTGTTTTAATAATAATCGAAGATTATACAATAAATTATCCTTTTTAGTCACATGTTTAGTTGCCGATCCGTCTAAATCGGCACTGTTTTTTGGGGGTTAATTAAAGGTTAAATTTAGCACAATTGTGAGAAAACTACATAATACTAGAGAAGGGAATAACTCATTATATATAATAAAAATCATACGATATATGTAAAAAAACCCAAGGAAAATAATATGCTAAAATAATTATACTTTTATTATTGAAAAAACAACTTTACATTTCACGCGCGTCAGTGTCCACTTTTCATGCGAATTTTGATAACTTCTTATTATATTATTATATTTAAATATCAACATAGTAATAATCAACCAACTCCAAATTACTAAAAAAAAATATTTATTAATTATTTAATTGTCAATTCGTTTAAGATTGGCACAATTTTTACTTTTTTAGCATTATGTGTTCGGGGCGAAATTTAACGAAAATTGCATAGTTGACAATAAATTCACTAATACTAAAACTGTGATAACTCAATATTTTTAATAATATATGTAAAAAAAACCAAGGAAAAAAAATATGTTAAAATAATTATAACTTTACTATGAAAAAAAAAATGACTGTACATTGTACGCGCATCAGATTTCACTCGCTATATGTATTTTATACAAATGATAGTGCCGTTATAGACGGATCGGCAATTAAATAAAAATTTCCCTAATAAAAATCAATCAATTGATATGTTAGGTATAGTTTTGAAATAAAAATATTATAAAATATATTATATGTTTTTTCTTTAAAATTCTTTTTTCGTGTAACCGTCCTTTTAACAATAATTAAAAATCACATATACTTTAATTAATCTTGCATTCATCGAACATAAAGGCTAACATTTTTTCCTAACTGTTTCATGACTATAAATTAGATGGACGTTTAGTTCTGATAATATTTATAAATTATTTTTAAATTTTATCCGTATAATTATTTCCATAATTAGAGATTGAATATACAACTTTTATGGAAATGATAAAAAACAAAGTTCAATTTTTATAACTCTAAAATTAGTACCTACAAAGAAAATTTTATAATTAAAACGTTTTGTTAATTTATTTCCATTGCTAAAGAAAAGAATAAATATTTTGTCAATCAATCCGTTACGAAATTAAAAGTCCCGTGATAATTATCACAACAAAATCTATTTTTAAAATTGGATCGACAACAATTGTCGGAATTCTAGAAATGCAACTATTATTCCGTTTCATATATGTTTGTTTTTTTTTTAAGTTAAAAATTTTCGATTTCGATCGTTTCATATATGTGATACCGATTATCTGCATAACACAAATAATAATTAAAAAAGAATATAAATAAAAAAAAACAAAGTTTTTATATTTGTATTATAACTTTTCTAGAATGAAAAAATTTTTTAATTGTTTAAATTATACAAATTAATCAAAAATAACGCGCTGAAACTTTGAAGGGGAAAATTTAGGGTTCTACATACTAAATACGCGCCGGAACTTAGAAAGAAAGAAATTCTTGAGCACTACACAATGCAAACAAATCGAATTGGCTAACAGATTGTCTTCTGAAAAGATATTTAAATCCCTAAAAATTTCTGACTTTGAAGATTCACTGATCTCTATCTTAAAAATAAAAAATAAAGAATTCAATATCTAATACGATAAAAAAAACTTTCAACGAAAAATATTTGTTACTAATCTTATAATGGTTCAATCCAAAATCTCTGGTGCTATCAACTTCGTTCTTGTCTTCACGCTTTTGATTGGACTCTTTGGACGAGTTTCAGCTCATGGTATTCTTCTTAGCCCTACCCCCAGACTTCTATATGGTCAAAATGCTACCGATGTAATCGCTAAGGTTTCCAACCCAACCAAGGAATTTCCCTGTGGTATTGCCGGTGATAGTCCAGGTCCAGTTACAACATACAAGCCTGGTGAGAAAATTTTAATCGCCTATAATAGAACTATTACTCATGGTGGAGATTGTTTAATGCAAATATCTCGATATGGTGATAAATATGATAAAGATTTCAAGACTTTCGAGAACTTAGGCCCATGTGGTATGGAAAAAGGCTTATTCACTGCATTTGTTGAAGTACCATACGATGAATGCGATAACGAAGATTGTGTAATGAGATTCAGATGGGATGATGACGCTGGAAACAATTACTTGTATTGCGTCAATGTTAGAATTAAGAAATATCCTGATTGCTGGGATTCAAAGAGAAGAAGATCCATCGGTACAACTAGAAGAGCTTTAAAAAATTAATAATTTTACGTTTTTATTATTTATTTTATATATATATATATATATACGTATAAAATGTGCATTTATAAATTTTTTATTTAAATTACAAATAAGTGTGATGGTTTTACTTATCCTTAATTTTACATTTTTATTAATAATTCTTATAATTTTTTATTTTTAATTGAGAAACCTTAGATTAATATAATACTATAAAAGCAATTTTTTTTATTTGTTGTTTGTTAAGGTTTAGGTTGTTTAAAAGATTTATCTTTCTTATTTTTCTTATTTCGGTTTCTATAAATTGATTCGGTGATAGAATAATCGCTGGTGGTAATTTTCAAAAAAAAAAAAAATTGTTTTTATAAATAGTTTATTATTTATTTCATATTTCATGTATTTTATTAATCTAATAAATTGTTCTATTTTAATGATTTTATAAATCTTACTCGCAACATAAATGATAATGCAAAATTAAACTTCAAATCTAGTTCTAGAGATCCTTAAATAATGAAATATAATCGAAAATTTGCAACGCAGCACAAACTATGATCACGAATTTAATTTTATAGCGTACTATTTAATATTTATGATAAATTTAATGATGCATTTTTTGAAACCGGGGAACCGATCAACTAAAAAAATTGAAATTCAAATTTCTTGATCTTTTAGCATAAACCGTTTATTATTGATATAACCTCACTCCACGCTTGATATATTAACGTGTGCCAAAGTTCCGAAATCAGTATTGATTGACGATTTTGTAAAAGATGATTTTCTTATTAAATTTATCTTCTTCATTAATTCGTTCAAAGATTTTTTCATCTTTATCACTTGAATCCCAAATCTTAGTACCATTGATCAAACATTTCTTTTAAATATTTTGTAATAGGTCTTTTAACGGAATTGTATCTATATTTTGTTTAACTATATCTTTTACTAATTGAAGTACTTTATTATTATGTGTTTCATTGTTTTACCGTCTGCAATGACTTGCATATCGTTAACGGCGTAAACTTGAGTTTATTTTAGAAATTGATTATCGTACCATCATCATAATCAGTTAATACATGTTATACAGTATTACTTATATGTATATTATATCATATATATCACATTATTACAAATAAATATTATTTAATTATCTAATTACAAGTTATTAATTATTATTACTCATATTACTCATTACGTTTATTTCCGATCTTTTCATCAGGTGTTGGATGTTTAACGTAACGTCTAAAGAAAGAACGACGGAAACGTTAGGGACTATTTAGTTAAAAATATATTAAAATTGCTGTGTTCCTACAAAAGTCCTAGATCCAAACAAAAGAAAAATTTCTGAATTTCCACTGAAATTCACGTCCCAGATCTGACTAAAATGAAAAAGATGAAATATTAGATTCGTTAAATTAAAAGATTAAAAAAAATATCTTCCGGTTTCTCACCAAGAAAAATCTTCGATTTCTTACTCGTCTAAAAAAAAAAGAATGAATGAAACGTTAGAAACATTTCGTTAAATAAAAAAATTAAAAAATTTATTCGTTTTTCCCGTTTTCCCACCGAAATCCACATTCTAAACCGTCTGAAAAAAAGAAAATTTCCGAATTTTATAAGTTCAGGCCTATTTAAAAAAAAAAAGAATAAAATTTTGAATATTAAAATGCATTTCGGTAGAATAAATAGACCAAAACAGAGAAAGAAACTTTAATACCGAAAGTGAAGTTCCGTACATCCAAAGATCTTGCTGTCTAAGAAAAAAAGAAAAGAGCAAAACGTTAGTAAGCGTTTCATTAAAGAAATTTTTAAAGAAAATTTCTGGAATCCCTACCGAAATCCTGCGCGTCCAAGTACTTGACTGCTTATAAAAAAAGAGAGAAAATCAAAAAGTTAGCAAAATGTTTCGCTAAAAGAAAGAAATTACATTTTTTTTTCAGAAGCCCTTACCGAAAAAAAAGAAAAAAATTGAAACGCTAGAAACATTTCGTTCTACCTTTTCTTATTTGTTTGATTATTTCAAAATTTTTATTTATTTTTTTTTTTTTTCGAAAATCTTAAAAAACTATTGACGATTATTATAGTGATCCTTTCACGTGGTTTATCTAAATCGTCGTTCTTAAGATAAAAGAAATTATCAGTTATAAATATTTATTTTGATTTTATTTATAATAAAAAGTTATTTATTAGAAATCATTATGAATTAGATTGCTTTCCAATGAACTATGTCTGCAAAAATTTGTTATCAATTTATAACCTTGACTAAAAACAAAGCAAACTATTTGATTATTTTGATTATTTACAATTTCAGAAATAGATCCTCTCTAAGGTACCTCACTAATTTAATATCTAAAATTTCGGAGAGCCTCTATTCCGAATAAAATTTTGGTCTTTCTTGCCAAAATGACAATCTTTAAAATGAAATTTAAAGTTTAGGAAAGTGTTTTTAAATGGGGATTTGAAATTATTACGTATTTAAATATTTCACGTAGAATTAATCAATTCTTCGCGAGTTTAAAATTAACTATAATCAATATTATATCGCAATATTTCTTGAGTATTATCCAATTGACGATTTTTTATGAAATTACAAAGAATAGTTTAAATATTGAAAATTATATTAAGTCATGTAATAATTTAGTATTAACTTGTCAAGAAACCAAAGATTAATTTTGTATATCAGTAAATCATATTATTAAAGAAATTATCTTATCAATAGATCTGTAATTATTTTCTGCAAACAGTGAATAATTAATTTATAAATAGATTTAATAAACAATTATTGCCAAATGTCTTTTTTTAGATGTTGCAATAAATTCTCATGAGTACAAAACAAAAATTCTTAGTAG